TTGGGGGCCCCGGTGGCTTTGTGGGCGGGGGGGGGGGGGGGGGCTCTGCAACTTACCTGGTTGCTTCTTGCTCTGAGGGCTGCTGGGAGCAGGGGGTGGGGCTTGTGGCATGTGCCCGCCCCCTGGGCCCTTTACTGCCGGAGCTCCGCTCCTGTGCGCTCCTACAGGAAATGACCCCTGTGCCTGGCTCAGAAACCCTTATGCCACTGCAAATTCTAGTGTTCAGGGTGCTCACAAGCAATGCTCCCTCTAAGCTGTGGAATCTTGTAAGCAAAAATTCTACTTTGTGAGCTACTGGCATTGAAGTTGTGAGCGAGCGATTTGGCTAGTTTGCTCTGGAGCCATCCTTCCTGAGCTAAGAGGAAAATCTGTGAGCTGGAGGCTAAAAAACTCTGAGCAAGCTCGCACTAACTCAGCTTAGAGGGAGCACTGGTCACAAGACTCTGTAAACACTTCCTGTTTTATCTTAGCTAAAATAATACTTGCTCGAGCGTTTTGTCTGTTTTTCTTTTCAATTTTAGAAAGTCTGTATTTCAAAAATTATATGAACTGTATCTAGAAGAATGTGACAAGGAGCCTGAAATAAAGGTAAGAAAGGGTATACTTACCCAGCACCTCCCCCCCTCGTTCTCTCTGCCTGGCCATCTGGATTGCCTCGGTTGCATTTTAATTTGACCTTGTTATGTCCACCGTGGGCTTCCTGGGTTTCAGGGCCCCTTGACACTGTTGTTTGTTTTTTTCATATATAAAAATGTCTGCCCAGCCAAGTATCTGATGAAGTGGGCTCTAGTCCACAAAAGCTTACGCTAGAATAAAAATAAGTTGGTCTTTAAGGTGCCACAAGATTCTTGCTTACAAAATAAGTAGCTTTTTGAGTTCCTGAGTTTCTTCAGACCGGATGTTGAAAAGAACAACATTTATTAATTTTCTTTAGTTCTTATATATCCCGCCTTTCTCCCCAGTGGGGACCCAGAATGGCTTACCTCTTTCACCTCTCCTCCATTTTCTCCTCACAACAACCCTGTGAGGTAGATTAGGCTGAGAGGGTGTGACTGGCCCAAGGTCACCCAATGAGCTTCCATGGCACGATTCGAACGCAGGCCTCCCAGATGCCTGGCACTCTTAACCACTATACTTCACTGGCTCTCTCATAAAACAGAAAAGGAAGATGCAGCATGTTTGGCCTGATGGGAAAGGTCCTCTTGCCCCAGTCTTCTGGTGGAGTGCAGAAAGTGTTTGTGAACGCGGTTCTCCACCCCTTCGAATTTTGTTTTGTCAAACGGGCAGCCTGATGGAAGAGTTCTGGGGGACTCAAAATCTTGCTCGCGGCTTTGTGACGTTCGGTGGTGGTGGGAAGGGCTGTCAGGTCACAGCTGTCTTATGGCGACCCCTCATGGGGTTTTCGATGCAAGAGACGTTCAGAGGTGGGTTTGCCATTGCCTGCCTCCACATCACAACCCTGGTATTCCTTGGTGGTCTCCCATCCAAATACTAGCCAGGGCTGACTCTTTTGCTTCAAAGACCCGATGTGATCGGGCTAGCCTAGGCTGTGACATTTGAGCTGGTCTTAATTCAAGGTGTTCCCAAAAGCCTTCCAAATTAAATTTAAAAATTCAAAAACCTTAAAGCATCTGATTTTTTTTTTAAGTTTGAAGATCTTTAAAAGCTTATCTAATGGTCTGTTGAACAAAGTGGGTTGCAGGCCCGTAGCTACAGTGGGGCATCTTGGGGTGGCCTGCCCCCTGACTTTCTGCCAAGGCCCCCCAAACCTCCCACCCAGCCCAGCCCCACCCCCAACTTATTTATCGCGCTCGCCACTATCAAATATGACAAGTTCTGTAATATGACAAGTTGTGTAACGGTTAGCATCTAAACTAGAAACATTTTTATGTGACAGACCACAAGATCAGTAGTGGTTAGCATTTTTGAAATAACCCTCAAACATTTTTGAGTGATAAATGACTTGTATTTATTATTTAGTTATTATTTTACAGTATAAACATAATGGGTGCCTGTTGTGTCCTCGCTTATTGGGGAGACTGTTTCTCCTTTAATTCATATGCTGTGTACATGAACTTTGTAGATTTCTGCTGCCACCAGGAATTGAAAATTCCAAATCTCTCTATTTTGGTAGAATGACCTAGTGTCTGGGCTTTTCAGAGGACTATGTGGCCCTGAGGAAGGACTGTACTGATTGCTGGGATAAACTTCAACAAATAATGATTTATTTATAAAAGAACAAAATACGTTTCTGGGTATTTTTGAACTGATGTTGAAGAAAGAAAATATCACTGACAAAGCTTGGCGTCACACAGAGTCTCTCATACACCAAAACTCAACTCTGACAGGTTTAAACACTCAGTCTAAACTCTCTTTCTCATATTGCCACACAGGCTGAAGTCTCTTGCTCATATAGCCACACAGGCTAACTAAACTCCAACTGCTTCCTCTGCCATACAGACTCTCACACAAACTCCCCATACTCGTCTCTTCATGAACACTGAATCACCTCTGAGACCTCTCTCCTCCCACACTCTCTGTCATCAGCCAGTCACATCACACTCATCTCTCCCTATCACTCTCCTTACATTACTGCAGTCACACTAAACATTTAAAGAAACCCACACATCAAAACATGAAATCATTACAGTGCCCCACAAGAAAAAAAATTGCCCCATAAAATGAAAAATCCTGGCTACAAGCCTGGTGGGTTGACTCCTCTTAGCTTTTCCACTGGTGAAAGAGGGAGGAGGGGTGCCAGCTCCTGGTTGGGAAATACCTGGAGATTTTGGGGGTGGAGCCTGTGAGGAGGACGGGGTTTGGGAAGGGGAGGGACTTCAGTGGGGTTCAATACCATAGAGTCCACCTTCCAAAGTGGAACTGATCTCTGTCGCCTGGAGATCAATTGTAAGAGTGGGCGATCTCCAGCCACCGCCTGGAGATTGTGTAAATATATGACGGTAACACAGAGAAAGCAAGTTTGATACAAAATCACAGCACTGAGGCTGTAGCGCTGAGTAAAAAATACAGATGGACATGTAAAGTCCTAAAGATAATTTAATTCAACGTTTATAACGTTATGAAGTGGTCAGTGGCTAATATATTCATACATATTCAATATGATCCACACAGGACTCCTTTAGAGAAGACCTTGGCTGTACAGGAAGAGAGTTTGGCTGCATTTTAATGTATTTAAGCTGTTTGAGTCCTATGTGGACCATATTGAACATGTATGAATGTATTAGATGTCAGTTGTTTATAAACTTTGAATTAAATTATCTTTAGGGCCTTACATGTTGTGGCGGAACAGGCCTGTTCTGACGTACAGAACCTGTTCTGCCAGCCCCCTCCTTGGCCTGTGCCAATTCCTGGAGGGTGCTATTCCGCTTCTTCCCACTAGGGTACCGCTGCCACCACTGTCCTTTCGGGGTCTTCCTGCCAGGAGGGACAGACTCCCGACACCCCTTCTCAAACTGAGGCTCTGCCTCTCGTCTCCTGCTACCCAGCTCCTGCTTAACACAGGGACCAAAGTCCTTCTTTGGAGGCTCCCTGGAGGATTGGCAACAGGTGCCTTGACTGCTTGTCTACCCCCCTTCCCGGGACTCCCCTCTTACAGTAGCGTGGTCTAAGGCGGTTGGGGGAACTATTTGGTCCAGAGAACACTCCCAGCTTCAAAAAGTAAAATAAAAAAAGAGAAAAAGGTTACAAGCATACTCTTAGCCCAGCACCAGTTCAGCAACCGGAAAGACAAAGAAAAGTTGGTTATCATCACGTCCTTCTTTCCCTGGTTCTAAAAACTTACTCTACTAGATGTTGAAATAGAGTAGGCCATTTCAAGCTTAGAAAGTTACAAAAGGTTCTAAAGATATCTCATTACCTCGGCTCTCTGCAGCCAGTAGGCCAGGCCACGTGGCCGATGGCTCCTGGCCTGTAGAACAGAGCTCAGCCGTCTGTCCTCTCCCAAAGATCAGCACCAAGAGACAAGAGAGGCCCCCCCTCCTGAGAGCAAGCACTTTAATTACACCTCTGGCTCCACCCATTCTACATCACTCTCTACCCCCTTTGGCCTGGTCTGCCCAGGTCACCCAAGTGGACCCTGGGGATACCCAGGTGCATCCTGGGAGCCCTCGCAGGCATTCTGGGAGATCTCCAGGAGTCACCAGGCCTATTTTTAGGCAGGAACGCACAGGAACGGAGTTCCGGCAGGCTTCAGAGTTGGCCACGCCCACTACAGCCAAAACCTCTGCGTGCGTGGCTACAGAGGGGAGGCCTGGAGAGCGGAACACCCCCCCCCCAGCAACTGCGATGTTGGGGGGGGGGGCTGGAAGGATCAGGGAGGCATTTAAATTCCTCTCCATGTCTTCCCTGGCCTGTACAAGGGCTAGCTTGCCCGGGCTCCCCACAGCCTTTCCTTCAAGCCAGGGGAAGGCATGGGGATGTGGCTTAATATGCTAATGAGCTGCACTGTCATGGGTGTGGCCTAATATGCTAATTAGTTCCTGCTGGGCTTTTTCTACAAAAAAAGCCCTGTACATAACTATGGCAGGTAATTGCCCCAGCTTCCTGCCCTTCCAGAGAGAAGAGGGGGGAAAACAGGAACACTTTAAAAACTCAGAATGGGAGGGGAGGTTCCTCCACACATGTCCATCTGTATTTTTTACACAGTGCTACAGCCTCGGTGCTGTGATTTTGTATCAAAATACCTGGAGATTGGCAACTCGAGGAGTGGATGTCTTGACCACTGGAAAGGGGTGTGCTGTGGATCGTGGGATCCGTGTGAGCCGAAGCTGCACTGGGAGGGGGGGGGTGGCCACCATGAGGAAAGGAATCGGGAAAGGTTGTGTGGAAAAGTCCAGGGTTTCAGTCACACCTGACAAGTGGCGGATCAGGTGGCTTGTGGTGAGATAGCGACGGGAGTGTAGCCCTTAGTGCGCTCGGTTGCCTCGTTTGTCGTTTTCCTGAGTGCTTGCCTGCCTTCAAGCAGAAGCTGCGACGGAACGTGAACCTGTTGGAGAAGCTGGTGATGCAAGAGGCGCTGTCGTGCCTGGTGGTCAACCTGTATCCCGGGAATGAAGGCTACTCGCTGATGCTCCGGGGAAAGAACGGCTCAGGTACAGTCGGAGCGGTGGAGCGGGCCTTTTCGTTACCCCTTCTCCCAAGCGGCGCTTTATGAAGCTCACCCGGGCTGCTTGCAGTGGGACCGGTTTTCTGTTGTGCCATCGCTGTCTTCAGCTTGGAACAAAACGACTAAAAGATGGATTCTGGAGAAATGTGAGGTTTTTGGGGCTCCTGCATGTTTTCCAGTCAGTATGCAGAGTTCTCCCCAGCGAGTCGTTCTTGTTCCGCATAACTGAGATTCAGAAGCAAGTTCAGTCCTGCCGTTCTCCAAACAACTTATTTCTGAAAAAAGGCGTCCCCGGTGTGATGCCCGCAGGGGCATGATGCCCGCAGGGGCATGATGCCCGCAGGGGCATGATGCCCGCAGGGGCCATGGCCAAGGCTCCCTCTAAGCTGTGGGGTCCTGTGAGCAAAAATTCTACTTTGTGAGCTACCGGCTTTAAAGTTGTGAGCGAGCGATTTGGCAGTTGCATAAATTAGTCTGCTCTGGAGCCATCTGTCAGGTTCCCAGTCAAATCACACTCCACACACACTTTGTCAGTGAAATGCTTTATTAGAGATATGAGATGCTGTGGGTTCAAACTCTTTGTTAGGACTAATTTGCAAAGGCAGGAAAAGCATCATATAGGTAAAACCCCAAATTCCATTCACACCAACGTCAGCGTTTCTATAGCAACCCAGACAGATATATGGTTGCCCTGTCTAACCTAGCCAGGCACAAGACTTCGCCAGAGACATACTCATGAGAAAGCTGTCTTGGGGCTCATTTCATAAAGTTACCAAGCGATACTCCCTAACGCTCTAACAACACACCCCCCCCCCCCCCGAGGAATGCAAATGGCAAGCGAGGGCAAAGGTGCAGCTATAAGGTACAGACAGGGCAAAAGCAAATGCTAAAAAATAATATGTCAAACAGAAACAACATGAATGCCAGAGCTTGACACCATCCTTCCTCTGAGCCAAGACAGCAATGTGTGAGCCGGAGGCTAAAAAACTGTGAGCTGGCTCATGCTAACTCAGCTTAGAGGGAACACTGGCCGTGGGCCCCCACTGGCCCCTTTCCTCGTGCCTGGCAAGTGTTTTTAGAAAGTGGGTGGGGCTTTTGCCAAGCAAGGCTTCTAACTGGCAGTCGGAGATTTGACTGGCCGTGCAGAGTTTTAAAAACATGACTTTGGCAGCAGCTGCCAGCAGAGCACACCGGTCTTCACCGTGTGACTGAAGGTAAGCTGCAGAAGCCATTTTGTGGCTGACTCCGCCTCCTGTGGCAGCCATTTTGTTTCTGCGCCCACTATACTGTGTCAGAATTCCAGAGGTGCCCACAGGCTCAAAAGCTTTGGGGACTCCTGCTCTAAAAAGTTCTTGGCCTTGCCCGTCTTTGGGTTAAGGAGGATTTCGGATGTATTCAAATCACAGTTTTATAAGGCAGATGTGTTTTGCAGCACCGAGCCAGTATTAGTTTGTTTGCTGGAGTCATCAGGGCTCCAAAATATTTCTCTAAGAAGAAGAGGAGGAGGAGGAGGAGGAAGAGATTGGATTTATACCCCGCCCTTCATTTGGAGTCTCAGAGCGGTTTACAAATTCCTTTCCCTTCCCCTCCCCACAACAGACACCCTGTGAGATAGGTGGGGCCGAGAGAGCTCTGACAGAAAGTGGTCTTTTCAAGAACAGCTCTTGTCAGAACTATGCCTTGCCCAAGGTCACACCAGCAGCTGTATGTGGAGGAGTGGGGAATCAAACCCGGTTCTCCCACTGCACCAAACGTACCAGGTTCCTGCTGAAATGTTTCTGTTTCCTTGCAGATTCGGAAACCATTCGGCTTTCCTATGAAGAGGGAGAATTGCTGGAATATTTGGATAACGAGGAGCTTCCCCCCATCTTAGTCGATCTCCTGGAAAAATCTCAGGTTTGAAAGATTTTGCAAGGGGTTGTGTGTAGTGCGTGGGCCGTACTAGCAGTAGTAACGACGTGTTCCATTGTCGCTCTTTCCTCTTTTCTTCCGGTGACCAGTGTATGTAGTCAAAATGATAGTTGATGGGAATCCTTTGAGGGAAATCTTAATATTTTTTTAAATGATCATGGTTCTGATGAATACAGTGCAGTTACTGGCATGGGTAGGTTCTGTTCTGACACCATGTCAGATCATGATGAAGGAGGCTTTACGATGGTTTGATGTGATGTCTTAACTGAAAGCTTGTACTTAGCAAGGAAGGCCGAGCACCAAAGAATGGATGCTTTCGAGTTATGGTTCTGGAGAAGACTCTTGGGAGTCCCCTGGGCTGCAAGGAGATCGAATCAGTCGATCCTAAAAAGAAATCAACCCTGACTGTTCCCTGGGATGCCAGAGACTGAAGCTGAAGCTCAAATACTTTGGCCACCAAAGGAGAAGGAACATTCACTGGAGGAGAAGACCCCGATGCTGGGAAAGACTGAAGGTCAAAGAAGAAGGGGACGGCAAAGGATGAGATGGTTGGACAGTGTTATCGAGGCAACAGACATGAAGTTGAACTAACTCTGGAGCACGATGGAAGACAGGAGGGCCTGGCGTGATGTGGTCCATGGGGTCGCGAAGAGTCGGACTCAACTGTGCGACTGAACAACAGCAATAACTTTGCAATCACCTCTTCTCTTCCAAAGGCTACTACGCCATGAAGATGGAAAAGGAAATTCTTACCTGATGAATTTTTCCTCAAGGAGAAGAGATTGTTTTTTGTTGGGTTCGGTCCTGCCTTCAGCCACAGGTGGGGCAAAAGCTTTTCCTGGGTGGTGTGATCTTTTCTTTGGCCCCCAGATGTCAGTGAAGCCAGAGAAAGGATACTGTAATCTTTATTAAAAAAAAAAAAAAACTACAAAGGAAAACTGGCAGAAAACTAATTACATTCTGCATAGCAACAGTCAGGGGTCATTTCCTGCCGGAGCGGAGCTCCAGCAGTAAAGAGCCCAGGGGGTGGGCACATGCAACAAGCCCCGCCCCCTGCTCCCAGCAGCCCTCAGTCAGAGCAAGAAGCACCCAGGTAAGTTGCAGAGCTCCCCCTGGCCCCCCCAGTCCAAAACAGTCCAGTGGCACCTTTAAGACCAAGTTTTATTCAGGTACAAGCTCTCCCTCCTCTGCGAGGACAGATCTGCACGTTCTCCCCCCCCCCCCAATAGCTAGCAATCCAAAACAGTCCAGTGGAGCCTGAGCGGTGGGTGTTGCCTTCTGACACACTTCCGGTGATGTCAAGGGGTGTGGCATATGCAAATAAGTTATGCTAATGAGTTATGCTAATGAGCTCCTGCGCCTCTTTTTCTACGAAATGACCCCTGGCAACAGTTGATGAGAAAATATATTGCAGAAAATAAAAGCAGGAGGGAGCGTGTCTGTGTATGTCTGGGGGACTTTTCTGTGTACCAGGAGACGAGTGAACCTAAGAAGTGTGCGTGCGCATGAAAGCTTATGCCCAGAATTGCACTGGGTTCAGCTCCCACCCGTGAACTCAGCACCAGTGAGGTGGAAGGCACCTTCCTAGATGCTTATGCCCTTGAGGCTACCAGGCCTAATGGTGTGACCGGCTGCTGGGTTACTGCCCATCTCCCATGTCTGAGTCTCTGAAGCTACCAGCAGCTTGCTGTGCTTTAGAGAAAGGAACTTCCATCTTTTAGTAGGCCTCAGCCTGAACCATTGTTTGAAATCTGAACAAGAAGTTGCTTAAAGAGACCGGTTTCTTGACAGGGGGTACGAGTTTGATGGCCATCTGACAGCAATGCGGATTCTGTGAATTCAGGCATAAGGGAGGGCAGGAAGGGTTGCCTCAGTGCTTAGTTCTCGTGGCCCTTTCTTACACGCCCAGGGAACTGCTGATCGCCACTTTGGAGTCAGGAAGCCGTTTTTCTCCAGGCTGGTTTGGCTGGAGATCCTGGAGGTCTTTTGTCATCTTCTGGGTGTGGAACAGCGACCACTGGGGGTGTGGAGGGGGAGGTATTTGTGAATTTCCTGCCTTGTGCAGGGGGTTGGACTAGATGAGCCTGGAGGTCCTTTCCAACTCTATGATTCTATTTCCTCTTCCCACGAGTGGTGCCTTTCTTAGCCGCATAAGGAGAACACCTCAGCACTACCTCTCGAGCAATATTTCTCATGGTGCGACCCTCCCAAGCTGAATTTGGAAGGCAAGGAGCACAGTCCGCTTAGTTCTACTGTGGGATTCGCTCCTCAAGGACAGATGTCGTTGTAGTCATTCTCCTTGCTGAAGTGAGTTCCTGAAGCCCTCCAGTGAAACCTGCCTTTCTGACTAAGGCAGAAAGACAGCTGGGAGTTACAGAAAGACCCCTCCACCTAGAAAAATCTTTTTGCCCCACCTTCTGGTCCCAGAAAGTAGGGCCTAGCCTGGTGAGGAACAGCCTCCATAGGGTGGAAAGGAGCGGCGTGTTGAGAGGACAGAAACAAAGTTAGATCAGTCCCGAGTTTGCCTGTTGGATGCTTGGAAGGGTCCAATCTTGGTTTCCTAGCTAGTGGAAACCGTGGTTTGGCTTTTGTAAACCAAGGAGCAGTTTCACTAACTAATGGGTGGGTCTTGACGAAATGTTTCTGATCACTAGAAGTCAGTAATAATTGAAATGCTGGCAGCTATATGCCCATGTATGAAAAGAGGAGAAGAAGATTGGGTTTAGGTGGGGCTGAGTGAGAGAACTGAAGAAGAAAAGAAGAGATTGGATTTATACCCCGCCCTTCACTAACCAAAGGAGACTCAGAGCAGCTTATAATCCCCTTCCCCTTCCCGGCCACAACTTCCCTGTGAGGTCGGTGGGGCTGAGAGCTCTTGAGAGAACTGCCCTTGAGAGAACAGCTCTGAGAGGACTTGTGACTGACCCAAGGTCACACCAGCAGCTGCGCGTGGAGGAGCGGGGTATCAAACCCAGATCTTCCAGATTAGAGTCCGCGCTCCTAACCACGACACCAAACTGGTTCTATGCTGTGGAGTATTAATAAATATAAAAATGCTGCGTTCACAAGGTAGCATTTTGTGATCATAATTTTGTGGTCTCTCGGCCCTGGGAAGAGAGAAAAACAGTGCCACATGGAACGTCCATACTTATTGGGTGTGCCATCTGGGACGTCATCTTCATGGAAGATCTTGTTTGAACATCTACACTTAATAGGTTGTAACTTATGTTGTTATATTGTAGTGATGTTTTAATATGTTTTTAATCCGTTTTATGTGTTGGCTTTGCCTGTCTGTGACCCGCCCTGAGTCCACGTTGCGGGGAGGGCGGGCTATAAATTGAAATTATAAATAAAAAAATAAAATAAAATGTTGAGATGCTAAAAATTCATAATGTGCTTGTGACGACCTCCTTATTCTGAAGGTCTGGTTTCACTTTAAAAGTGTTCTTTTTATATTGTTCTACTGGGTATATACGGCTGCCACCAGGAAATTTTAAGGATTTCCAAACCTTTATACTTTGACTTCTGCTCTTACTGGTTAGGTAGATTGAGTTCAAGGCCCACGAGGGACTATGTGGTCCTGGGAAGTATTTCCTTCAGAGCTGGTATACTTGAATGAAAAAGGATTTATTAAAATAAAGCATGAATAAGAGGGTAGTACAATGTAACTAGTAATGTGTAAATACTGAACGATTGCTTGGTGTATCACACACAATCTGCTCCCTTACTGACAGGGATCTTTCAGGTAACTTTGTAACACTTTAACTCAAGGTCATATATGTTCACTGTTTCTCTCCAGGACATACAGCCTTTCCTATGTTGTCTTCAATTAAACTTTCATTTATTTTTCTCTATTCTCTCAGCCTTCCTTCTGTTTCTCACTGAACTAACTTATTCCACACAGGACTGCTTCTCACTTCTTTCATACACAGAACTAACTGAACTTATCAACTGTCAAAACTGTAACTGTAAAACCTGACTGACATACATACTCATCCACTCATTTTCACTTCCAAAACCCTCTCTGTCACCCACCAATCATACCACACTTGCTTCTCTCAACCACTCTAGTCTACTTACCACAGCCATGCAACCAAACTTTTAAAGAGACACACACACACCAAAACAAGGAATCGTTACAGTGCTACAAGCAGATAAGTGTATAGCAACCAAGGAAGCCACAAAGGCCCTCAGTTTACGAGACCTGAGCACGGCTGTAAACAAGAGGACATTTGGGAGGTCATTAATTCAGAGGGTCGCCATATATTTAAAGCCACTTGATGGCCCTTCACACACCCACACACATCCTATGAGTCCAGTTGGTCTTACAACAGCATCCCTCGCCTACTCATAAATACACATCTGCTTGCCTTCGGACAGATCAATATCTTCCATTGCGGCTGCGTCATAACAGAAATACGGGACTATCGGCAGTCTGGCAACCTGAAATCCGCCACGTACCAAAGCAGGCACGTCCTCCTGCGCCCGACGATGCAGGTGAGCACTTCGGGATCCCCCAGATTCTCACGGGTTTAAAAGAAAGCACCGTTTTCATAAGTAATAAAAGGTTTGCCTCTTTCCCCCCCTCCCTCCCCCAGACCTTGATTTGCGACGTGCATTCCATCACAAGCGACAACCACAAATGGACACAGGTAAGTGATCTGGCAACATCTTGGGTGACCGCAGGGCCAGGGTGGCCAAACTTGCTCAGGGCTAAGAGCCACATAGAATAAACGTCAGATGTTCGAGAGCCGCAAGACACAGACAGATATTACACACACCTTTTTATTTTAAAATATGCACATTATTGACATTGAATGTGAGTCTGGGGAGATAGGAACTATTGAACATATGATGTTTAGATGTAAGTGGTACAATGAGGCTCGAGATAGATTAATTCAACCTCTCATTAAAGAAATGCCTTGGCAGACAGACTCTGAGTGTTGTAATAAAATGTTATCGGATGAAAATCACTCTATTTACTAAGATTGTGGCTAAATTTTGGGTGGCATGCTGTCGCATTTGAAAAGGACAGCTTAACTTGTAAAATCGCAATTCTCTCCTTTTTAGTGTGTTTTTAGTGAATCTGTTATATGTATTCTATATTTTTATATTGTGTAGTTTGTGATGTTTTATTTTGGTGCCCCTTGGTGGGGTGTTTGGATTGCTCTGGCTGGATGCCATAATAAAATTTCATTCATTAACATTGAATGAGACTGCCAAAAATGAAAACAAAAAAGGGGTTAAAACAGATATTGATAATATTTATTTGTCCACTGATATTTGTTTGCTAATGATATCTATTTGTCTGAAAGAGAGAATGAAAGAGGTGGAAAGAAAGAGAGAGAGAAACCAAGAAAGCAAATAGATGGGAGGGGGGGAGAAAAAGTATGCTTCCCCTTTGCTTCCCCAGCTGCCCCGCCGGGAGCCGCACAATATGTGTGAAAGAGCCGCATGTGGCTCCCTGACCTTCAGTCTGTTTTGATATTCAAGGCCGTTCCTCTAACAATTTCTTACTCAATCTGATATTTCAGCCTCAGGAAAGGCCAGCACTGTATAGGGTTACTGGTCACCAAGGTGTTAAATAGCGGCATGCGCCCAGTATATGTGCTCTAAAAACATTTGGGGTGCCAAGAAAGGTGGCAGTGGGTACCGTGGCACCTGCGGGAGTCACGTTGGTGACCCCCGACTTAGATTAATACTTAAGAGCAGGTATGTTATAGGATTTGTACAATGAAATTATTCACCTGTCGCGGTGAAGAGTGACAGGAATAATATTTTGCTTGCACAATCTGGTCCCGTGCATTTAGAGACCCCTGAAGCCCAGCGGCCTCCGTGGCACTTACCCCAAATCAGTGTTCCCTCTAAGCTGAGTTAGTGTGAGCTAGCACACAGTTTTTTAGCCTCCAGCTCACAGGTTTCTGTCTTAACTCTGGAAGGATGCAGCTGCCAAATCGCTCGCTCACAATTTCAAGGCCAGCAGCTCACAAAGTAGAATTTTTGCTCACAAGACTCCACAGCTGAGAGGGAGCATTGCTCCAAATTAAATGTGAATAGTGTTTCCTTGCCATTTTAGAAGTCTCCTGTGCTTGTTTTAAAGGAAGATAAGCTCTTACTGGAAAGCCAAGTTATCCTGGCAACAGCAGAACCCCTCTGCCTGGATCCATCCATTGCCGTAACCTGCACAGCCAACAGACTCCTGTACAACAAACAGAAAATGAACACCCGGCCTATGAAACGGTACTGGAAAATAACAACCCGCTCTGGTTAGGGAACAGTAGATGTCTTTCATGAGGACAAATACTAATTCACAGATGAGATTTTAGCTGATTTTAGAAATCCATAAGAATTTTCCTGTAAATTGGTACCGGGGGGGGGGACCCCTTAAAACTCAGGGAGATTGGAATAAAGGGTACTTTGATGATAAACAGGTGACTGGTTTTGAGTGTGCAGCAGGGTCCTAGAACTGCCTTTTAGGAGTACGTGGATAGAGAACTACCAGAAGTACAAGCTGGGTTTCGAAGAGGTAGAGGAACTAGAGATCAAATTGCCAACATTCGCTGGATTATGGAGAAAGCAAGAGAGTACCAGAAAAATATCTACTTCTGCTTCATTGACTATGCTAAAGCTTTTGACTGTGTGGATCACAACAAACTATGGCAGGTCCTTAAAGAGATGGGAGTACCAGACCACCTCACATGTCTCTTGAGAAACCTGTATAAGGGCCAAGAAGCGACAGTTAGAACCGGATATGGAACAACTGATTGGTTCAGCATAGGAAAAGGAGTACGACAAGGATGTATATTGTCGCCTTGCTTATTTAATATATATGCAGAGTACATCATGCGAAATGCTGGCCTGGATGAATCACAAGCGGGAATTAAGATTGCTGGGGAAAAGATCAACAACCTCAGATATGCAGACGATACCACTCTAATGGCAGAAAGTGAAGAGGACCTAAAGAGCCTCTTGCTCAGGGTAAAAGAGGAGAGCGCAAAAGTGGGCTTGAAGCTCAACATCAAAAAAACTAAGATCATGGCATCCGGCCCCATCACTCCTTGGCAAATAGAAGGGGAAGTCGTGGAAGTAGTGACAGACTTCACGTTCCTGGGATCCCAGATCACCGCAGACTGTGACTGCAGCCATGAAATTAAAAGACGCCTGCTCCTTGGGAGGAAAGTGATGGCGAACCTAAACAGCATGATAAAAAGTAGAGACATCACCCTGCCAACAAAAATACGCATGGTCCAAGCAATGGTATTCCCAGTAGTCATGTATGGCTGTGAGAGTTGGACTATAAGGAAGGCCGAGCGCCGAAGAATAGATTCTTTTGAACTATGGTGCTGGAGGAGACTCTTGAGAGTCCCTTGGACTGCAAGAAGATCAAATCAGTCAATCCTCAAAGAAATCAACCCTGACTGTTCCCTGGAAGGCCAGATAATGAAACTGAAGCTCAAATACTTTGGCCACCAAATGAGAAGGGAGCACTCACTGGAGAAGACCCTGATGCTGGGAAAGATTGAAGGTCAAAGAAGACTGGGACGGCAAAGGATGAGATGGTTAGACAGTGTCATAGATGCAACGAACATGAAGTTGAGCAAACGTCAGAGGACAGCGGAAGACCGGAAGGCCTGGCGTGATCTGGTCCATGGGGTCATGAAGAGTCGGACTCAACTGTGCGACTGAACAACAATGATGATACTGGCTGATTTGTTTTCAATTCCCTTCCTAATAATCCCCAGCATAGCGTTGGCCTTTTTTATTGCAGTCGCACGCTGTCTCGACATTTTCATTGAGTTATTGACTACGAGTCCAAGATCTCTCTCTTGGTCAGTCTCTGCCAGTTCGGACCCCAGATGTGGGCTTGCACAGATGTGGTTCCCGTTAATCTCTGACTGTCTTGCAGGTGTTTCAAGAGGTATTCCCGGTCGGCCCTGAATCGGCAGCACGAGGTGTCCCATTGTCCAACCCCACCCCAGCTCAGGTTGCTCGACTATTTGCAGAAGAAAAGGGAGAGGAGAGGAGCCCAGCAATACGACCTCAAAGTGTCCAAAGCTGGAAATGTAGGCATCTTTTTGGAAAACGAATACAGCGGGTTGCATAGATACATGCAATTAACCATGGGGACTGTTCATACATCTTTGCCTGCTGTTCTTGTTTTCAGTGCGTAGATATGTGGAAGCAGAATCCCTGCCACTTGGCCGTGCCGTCTGAAGTGGATGTAAGTGTGTCATTTCCTTTTACGTTTACGGAATTTTTCCCCTTAGTTTCTCCGGTAGTCATAAAAATACGCTAGCAAAGTCTTAGAACGAATCTCTGTGTATTGGACAGAGAAATGAATGGCATTATTTGGAACCGCCTGTTGAAATAATTGAAAATACGATAAGAACAGCTGTTGGTGGCTGCAGTCAATGTCTAGAAAGAAAGGAATCTGTCAAGACCAGTTGTCACGACCCCGCCCTTCCGCCTCTGTATCATTGCCCTCAAACCGGGCTGCCCCAGAGATCACAGGGATGTTTTCCTTGTTCAGGGTCGTTTCAACCAGCACACAGTAAGAGAGAGGGAGGTATGTTTGTTTAAAACTCCCTTAGCCAAATAGATACCGGTAGCCAAATTCATAGGTCAGTGACTCATTCCAATTAAAAGAATATTATTACAAAAAGATAGACGAATAAAAACAAACAAGTAAGGGAAATACAAGTGGACGAGGTACCACATAAAGAAACAGAAGCCCAGCTAACTATCCTAGATTACTTATCCTGAGCAAAAGCTCAAAGCAGCTTAGTTGAAGAAGCTGGGCTGGAGCCAGGGAGTAGCAGTCCTCTTTCCGGCTTTAACGGCCTTATCACCGTCCGTCTGGTCCGACGAGCCTCCTGGAAAGGTGCTTGGAAAGCCTCCTTCAAGCATCCCGGCGTCTTCCTCCCGCAGTACGTGAGCAACACAGCGTGGTTACCTTGGCTGTCTCTCTGGACCGAGCCAGTGTTCTTCCTAGCCTTGCCTCGCCTCCCACTAAATAGCAGTCAAGCTGTCATTCATTTACTGGCCAATTTAGGGTTAGCACGTGGCAAGTTTAGATGGTCTTCTGTCAAGATCTCCCTGAGTCCTTGTGACTCTTGACATTTACCAGCTGCTCTAGATCAACCTAGCCCGTAATTAGTAACAGGTGTTAGGCTAACTGTGCTGCTATGCCATGTTCTTTCAGCTAAAACACATTAACTGCCTAGCTTCAGCAAACACGGTTCTTAAAGGGCAATATCTTGACACCAGTGTTCCCTCTAAGATGAGTTAATGTGAGCTAGCTCACAGTTTTTTAGCCTCCAGCTCACACATTCTCCTCTTAGCTCAGGAAGGATGGCTCCGGAGCAAACTAACTTATGCAGTAGCCAAATGGCTCGCTCAGAAGTTTAAATTAAATTAAATTAAATTAAATTAAATTGGTAACATCTTTGAGCACTTTATCATTGTTAAGTATGGTTGATTTTATTCTGTTTTTTATGTTTTATGTGGCACATGTTGCCCTTATTTGTAAGCCACCCTGAGCCTGCTCGTGGGGAGGGCGGGATATAAGTGTAACAATAAAATAAAATAAAAACGCCAGTAGCTTATGAAGTAGAATTTTTGCTCACAAGCAATGCTCCCTCTAAGCTGTGCAGTCTTGTGAGCAAAAATTCTACTTTGTGAGCTACTGGCATCAAAGTTGTGAGCGAGTGATTTGGCTGCTGCATAAATTAATTTGCTCTGGAGCCATCCTTCCTGAGCTAAGACAAAAATGTGTGAGCCAGAGGCTAAAAACCTGTCACACTAACTCAGCTTAGAGGGAGCACTGCTCACACAAGACTCCCTGTGGAATCTTAGAGGGAGCATTGGTCAAGACATGCATAAAAAGAACCAGCCTGGCATAGCGCGGGGATCCCCAAACTCTTTGAGCCTCTGGGCACATTTGGAATCCAGACACAAGGCAGTGGGCGCCGCTGTAACGTGGCCACCGTGGGATGTGGAGCCAGCCACAGAATGGCTACCGTGGGAGGCAGAGTCACACACGAAGGCCAGGGACGAGAGGAGCGATTTTAAGAAACACCCTGGGAAAGGGACGTGAAAAAGAGCAAATCAACCCTAGCGTTAGCTGCCGCCATAACAACATTATTTTAATGTGCACAGATCTCCAGTGGCTAATCAGAAGCCTTGCTAGACAAAAGCACCCCCTGGCCCCGCCCACATTCTGAAAACGCTTGGCAGATGGCGGGAAAGATGTCGGCGGTTGCCACATTGGGAACTAGGACCCGGGCAACCCAGATTCCAATCCTGACTCTGCCCTGGGAGCTTGCTGGGTGACCTTGGGCCAGTCACGTGCTCTCAGCCTAACCTACCTTGCAGGGTTGTTGTTGTGAGGACAAAATGGAGGAGAGAATTATGTAAGCTACCTAATGGGGAGAAAGATGGGGCGTAAATTCAGTTAATAAATACAAAAATAAAAAAAGAGGACTGAAAGCCAGTGAGTTGGATTCAAAGTCGCATGATCAGAAGGCACTCGCCTGAGCGGGCCTTCTCCCAGCAGCCCCCAGTGCGCCTCGGAAGCAGTTGCTTAGAGAGCTGCATAGAGAAGGGGGGATTAGGCAGAACCCCCCACTCGACTTTCCCCCTAACAGAGCAAGCATCACCCTGAGGACTGCTTTGTTAGATGGGGCAAGGGTTTGGCCGGATTCCCGCACCTCACTGCAGAGGATTTTCAGGGCATGCAGAAGGGGGAAAGCGAGGGAGATCCACTGGTGCAGACGCCTCCTGCTCAGTGTGTTTGATTCCACCTTGGGTCAGGATTGCTTCATGCCTTTTTTAGGAAATCTCCTCCTCCTCTGGGAGGATAATCAGTATGGTTCTGAGATCCCCAAACTAGCCGCACCCCTCTCATCACGGTGGCGGAAAAGTGCCACCGAGTCGCAGATGACTTACGGTGACCTGTCACGGGGTTTTCAAGGAAAGAGAGGAACAGAGGTGGTTTGCCTTTGCCTGGCTCCATGCAGCAACCCTGGACTTCCTTGGCGGTCTCCCATCCAAGTGTAACCCAGGGCCAACCCTGCTTAGCTTCCAAGATCGGACGAGATTAGATTAGCCTGGGCCATCCAGGTAAGGGCGCCCGCATCATACTCTGGAGATAGATCAAGATGGGTAGTGTGGCATCCTTGCTTATTGGGGAGACTGTTCCTCCTTTATAAACCACTTTGTGTACATGAACTTAGTAGATTTCTGCTGCCACCAGGAATTAAAAATTCCAAATCTATTTTGGTAGAAGACCCCAGTGTCTGGGCTTTTCAGAGGACTCTGTGGCCCTGAGGAAGGACTGTTCTGATTGCTGGGATAAGTTTAAACAAATAATGATTTATTTATAAAAGAACAAAATAGGTTTCTGGGTATTTTTGAACTGCTGTTGAAGAAAGAAAACATAACTGACAAGGCACACACAGTCTCTCATACACCAAAACTCAACTCTGACAGGCTTAGAACTCAGTCTAAACTCTCTTTCTCATATATCCACACAGGCTAAAATCTGCCTTTCTTAGTCACACAGGCTAAACTTTGTTGCTCATAGCCACACAGGCTAAACTCCAACTGCTTCCTCTGTCATACTGACTCTCCCATAACTCTCCACACTAGGGGTGTGCAAAAAAAATTATTCGGCCGAATCGGGCAGAATCAATTTCCGCCGGCAGTAAGACTCCCGCATGTCAGTTTTGTCAGTACCAGACCATTCCAGAGTCTTTCCGCCAGCCGAATGTCAATTTCAGCCCCAATATATCCTATGGGCCATTGAAGTCAATGGCGAAAGCGTAGGGTATATTCTGGGGGCTAGAGGGAAGGGGGTTTGAGGAAGAGGCTCCAAAATCATAGGGTAGCTGCTGGAGCCTCTCCCCAAGATACCCACCGAGTTTCAAGAACATTGGACCAGGGGGTCCAATTCTACGGGCCCCCAAACAGGTTACCCACATCCCCTCCATTGTTCTCTATGGTGGGGGAAAAGTTACTTTTTCCCACGGTGCTGTTAGTGGCTCTGGGGGGGGGGGGGGGAGGGGGAGCACTCAATT